TGTATTAAGAAGGATCCCTCATCTGTTGCAATGCTCTTTGTCGCCATCTTGAAATTCTTCATACTTTTTTGAGCAAGGGATCCATATTTTCAATTTCCCCTAGGTACCTAAAATTATATTGCCAGTCCTCCTGGATTATAGTTGACTGAGGCTTTCTGCTTTTTTCTTTCTTTTTCCTTCCTAGCAATAGCTCCAGGTCCAGCCTCTTGACCATGCTCAATGCTGGACTGCCTATTCTCATGTCCACTTCATCAGGAGCTGACTATTTACCCTACATGGAGTCAATTTTCAATGATCCTTCCGTGGATTAAGGGGCTTATTTGTCATCCAAGTAGTTTTTTTTTTTTTTTTTTTTTTTTTGCTTGCCACCCATGGACTTCCAAGAAATGCCAGGTCATTATAACAGCTGAACATGCTTAGAGAGGCAAATATGTTGCCCAGGAAAAAAATCTTACAATGATAAGGCTTAATAAAAATTATTTTTCATTTGTAACTTCTATATACTTATCAACAATAAACCACGAACAGGTGCAAAATCAATTTATATTTGGAGTTTACATTAGGATTTTTAACATCTTACCAAAAACCTGAATACTTTGTTTTATGATGTCAGTTTCCTGTGTATGGTTTCTAATTTTTGTTTTATGTTGAGCCATATGGAGGACATTTATATTCAATATGCTTATTAAATTTTTATATTTGTGCCACTTGCATAAGTTTATGGAACTTAAGAATTATTGCAGCAAAACTCCTGTCTTGGGATAGTCATTTGTTTTCTTTTTCCTTTCCTTTTTATGGCCTTAAGAAATCCTTTTGAAATGGTAACATTTCTCCTGTACCCAATTTAGAAAYAGTTCACCTTACTATATACTCTTCCCATCTGCTACCTTGGTAGAAATGCTTTTATTAAACTCTACTTTATTGAGATTGTGCCTTCTTAAAGAATATGAAAAGAAACAGGCCTGTTATTTCTGTTTATATTATTCAGAGGATTGTATGTTAGATGACACTCTGACCTCATCATGAGAATCCACAGTTCTCTCAACTACAGCTGGCTGAAGGACTAGCTCATCTGGGGTAATGCCTTGCATATCAAATTAAAATTGTGCCATAAAGATCACTGAATATGGATTGAGATGGGGAACATTTAGTTACTAAMGCTCCTTTTAGGAAGAGAACTGTATACAGTCAAAGGAAATACCCTGAGAAGCCACTTGGGATGGTGGTAAGAATTTCAAGGAATATGATCAAATAACAAGATGCCCAATAAACTTCCCTCCTGGTAGCTTGACTGGAATCAACTGGAGAGCTTTTATTTGCTTTCAAGGGCACAGAATTTTAGGGTTAGAAACCAATGACCTGGGATGGTACATGAGAAACCGAAACTTGTCAGCAGCTATTCTTTTTTATTTTGAGGGTGGTGGTGCTACCTGGGATTGAACTCAGTGGTACTCAACCACTGAGCCACATCCCCAGCCTTATTTTGTATTTTATTTAGAGACAGGGTCTCACGGAGTTGTTTAGCGCCTTGCTTTTGCTGAGGCTGGCTTTGAATTGTAATCCTCCTGTCTCAGCCTCCCCCATCACCTCTTCTTTATTTCTATAAATAATGGAAAAGAGACATTTTAAAGATCATCATCTTGAAGAAATGCCAAAAAAGTAGCTCTTCCACAGATCTACACCTCTTTATCCACCCTTAATGGAAGCACCTTCTACGACTTAATTTCTGGTCAGCTAGTTTGTTTTGTRTTCATGGTCTTCAGCACTCATAACCAGCCGAGGTTTCCTTGTGGAGGTGGGTAGCAGAGCCTAGAGCTAATGTGCGGTCCACTTCTCATGAATGTGTTAGAATTCATGTGCTTAGCCCATGTTATTCTCTAAATTTTTCTTTTCCCTAGCTACTTCATCTTTCTAAATAGTATGCATCTTTTCAGACTGCATTGACTCCTTACTATTGTAAYTTTTAAATTCTTGTTTAGAGGTATTTTATGCAAATATCTTCTTCCTTTTCCTCTTTCTTCCCTCCCCCTCCAACTATCCTTGTATGGTAATTTCATAAGAGTAACAATAATGACTTCATAGCCCATAAAGTAATAATTATTGGCCTTTGTTTTAAGAGCTGGTTTCCACTGTTGTGGTCCTACATAAATTAACAAAGTAACCAAAGTGTGTATTTTGGATGAAGATTCCTAATACATCTGGTGGCCAGGGGTGCTCAACACTCAATCAATTTACCAAATAATAAAGGCCATCCTGTTATATAAATAAACATAAGTATTAAGTAAGTAGTAAAGGATGTTAACTGTATATAGAATCTAAAAACACAAGTGAATTATATTACCCTCACCAAATAAAATTCTTATGTATATTTTTATTAAAAGTAATTCAACATATAATTAGTATTACTCATTTATGATATGGCTAATGAACAAATTATTGGCCTTAGACTCCTAGATGTATTTCCAAGTGCCAACCTGGCATTTCCATAGGATGTCCCAATGGTGTTTTAAACTTGACATCTTTACCCTCACCTACCCCTGTCCTACATCTATTTTTCTTATTTTCCTATTTTGGTCATCAGTGTCATTGTCCAGACACGTCTCTTTTCTGAACCCTAAAACAGCTGTTCATCTTGTCCCCTGCTTAGGTCTGACCTGTCTCTAGAGTCTTTCCCTGACCCTAAAGCCATTTCAGATCCTGTCATCTCTCCCCTTTACCCGAAGTGTCTTATGGGGTATAGATACACCTCAGGCTACCCATAAAACCATCTTTGGGGTAAGCCAAGAAAATATTAAACGTGTATATATTTTATCTTTTCCTTTTAACATTTCTGGCTTTCATAATGCACATATTAGTACAATTACCTATATGAACAAATAGTCATCATATATAGGACTGTATGCTCACAAATTTCTGATGTAGTATGTAATAAAGTGGTTTGGATTAATGACCAAAATAGGAAACACAAGGACAAATGTGGAGCAGAGGGGAGGGTGAAAATGGTGAATTTAAAGACCACTGGGACAACTCGTTGGAAATGCCTGGTAGRCACTTGGAAATACATTTAGGAGCCTAAAGCCAACAATTTGTTATTAGTCATATCATAAATGAGTAATAATATTTATTTATTTATGATACTGGGAATTGAACCCAGAGAGGCTTTACCACTGAGCCATATCCAAGCCCTTTTTAAATTTTTTTATTTTGAGACAGAGTCTTGCTAAGTTGCTCAGAGCCTCACTAAGTTGCTGAGGCTGGCTTTGAACTCAGAATCCTTCTGCCTCGGCCTCCCAAGCTGCTGGGATTACAGATGTACACAACTACACCTGGCTGAATTACTTTTAATAAAAACACACAAGAGCTCTATTTTGTGATTTATAATTTGCTTGTATTTTGTGATTTTAGGGTCTATATGCAGTCAATCTAGATTATTGCAGTTGTCATTCTGTTTTCACTCTGACGTCCCCATCATTCTATTATTTATCATTAGCTAATATAAGTAAAGCACATAGAATAAATTAAGCACTATGCAAGTATTAGATCTTATTATTTCTATTTAAACAGCTTGAATAAATGCATTGGTTCTCATATTGGGAATCTTCAGGCCAACTCTGCCCATAGGTTGGCACTGTGGGTTCCAACCAGAGGAGGAGGCTCACTGTGGTCCAGCACCACAACAAAAGACACATCCACTCTGCTCCCTCGAACACTTCTCATCATCATGTCATCTCGCATCACACAACTGTAGAAGAAAACCTGTAGACCTTATTTCTAAAATAAGGTCCACATTCCCTTGGGAGAATAGAGAAGAATATATGTTGGGAAGTTGCTGCCTAGGATGGGTGGCATTCTGTGTTCTATTCCATCTGCTGAGGAAAGGAATGAGGGAGAACAGCATAGTGTTAGTGCTTTGGATCCCATTCAATCTCTTCCCCTGTTGCTTGTGTTATCTTCAATAAAYTACCTACTCTTTCCAAGCTTGTTTCCCAATGTGTAAAAGGGTAGGAGAACACTGGCCTCACAGAATTGTAAAATAACACATATAATGTATTTAAGATCAATAGATTTTTAATAAATGGTGGCATTTTTCATTTGTGACATTCTGACACTTCTAGAAAGGTTTAGAACACTTTTCACTAATGGAATATTGCTGTGATTTGAATGTGTCCCCCAAGGTTCATGTGTTGGAAACTTAATGCCAATGCAACTGTGTTGGGAGGCAGGACCTAAGAAGTAGTGATTTGTGCCAGGCACAGTGGCACATGCCTGAAATCCCAGCATTCCCAGAGGCTGAGACTAGAGGATARCGAGTTCAAAGTCAGCCTCAGCAAAAGCAAGGCACTAAGCAACTTAGTGAGACCCTTTCTCTAAATAAAATGCAAAATAGGGCTGGGGATGTGGCTTAATGATTAAGTGCCCTGGAGTTCAATCCCTGGTAGCCTCCCCCCACCCCCCAAAAAATAGCTATTTGTTCTGCTTTAATTAATTAATTAATTAATTAATGTGATTGCAGGTGCAGCTTAGAGGGTGGGCTGTTACAAAGGCAAGTTCTGACTGTCTTGCTCTCAGGCTCTCTTGCCCTTCTGCCTTCTGCCATGGGATGATGCAGCATGAAGGTCCTTGCCAGATCTTGGTGTTCTCTTGGTTTTCACAGATTCCTGAACTGTGACTCAAATATATTTGTCTTCTTTATAAATTACCCATTCTAATGTATTCTTTATAGCACCAGAAAATGAACTAAGATAGTTATTTAACATGTTAGAGAAGACTTTTTGAAAGAAATGACTACTCAGCTGTGATATAAATAGGCAGTGAAAAGAGGGTACAATGCAGCATGGCTGGAGCAGAGTCAGGGAGCTGGGAGGGAGGGATGAGGATAAGGGCTGTGGTAGGGGCAAAGAATGGAATCATAGGATATCTTTTATGGTACTGAAAAGTATTAACTACCACTAAATTTCGAACAACCAGATCACACATGCAAAGACCACTCCATACAACACTCAGAAAACTAAAGCAGCACCTTTATTTTATACATACAAACTGTATAAAATGTTTATTATGTAAGAGCAGTGTTTTGTTTACAATATATATTATATTGCTTCAAGCCAATGCAAAGACTTCATACATTATATTCCCTATCTCATTGTGTTTACAATATATTATATTGTTTAAATGCCACTACCACAGTGTCAATTTTTGGTTTTTCTTTTTTCAATACTGAACTCTCTGGAGTAATGGTAAGGTCGAAATATATTGTATAAGAGCATACAAATAAGGGCAATTAAAAATGTGACAAATGTCTAAATATATGACAATAAAATTTGAAATGCTGTAACTTCAACATGATTAACTGCTTCATCTAAATCCTTGTGATTTATGTATTTTTGCCCAATTTAACCTCTCTAATGTGACCCAGYCCCTCAACTCCATGAATGCATTGTAATTTTGCAAATATCTGCCAACTATACACGGAGAAGACAAAATTTTAACCTGATCAACAGACATAATATAAAATCTGTCCCAAAGGACTGAAAGAAGAAAATCTATACCATCATGCTACAGACACACTTAGGAAACTTAAAAGGAAGAGTAAATATCAGCTCAGTGATTTATAATGAAGCTAATAAAATTCAGGCCAGTATTCTTAAGTGTAATGAACATTATTTGAACATTCAACACATGAAAGGTTAACAAAGGCTATGAACTTGGTGTAACTTAAAACGTTTCAGATGTCGGAGTTCACCAGATGTAATTGGATTCAGGTGGTTCCTGCTGCTCCCCGGCCTTTTTAAGTGAAGGCGTGTGCTGCCGGAGACTGGCGCCTGCTGGCCTCAGGGCATGCATGAGGCTGGCTCTGTACCCTGCAAAATTATTCACAGCTTAAAAGCAAAGAAACTACAAAAACAGGCTCTTCAGATTCATCATTAACCATTCAAATGAAATCCATTTTCCCTTTTTAACCCAGAGTGGAAGACCACAGTGCCCACAAAAAGCTACCTGATTGAAGAGATGTTACAGGTTCAAGATCTCTGTTGAAAGAAACTCATTTTACTAACTCTGTCAAATTTGCCCTCCATTGGAGGCTTACTCACTATATACTTTGGCTGTTGTGTTTGAATGGAAGCAGTCTCCACCCAAGGGTTGGTAAGGATCTCACACTGAAGTCTCAAATGCTGCTACAGAGGACCAATGATTTGGTCATTGATCCTTTCATTGCATTGCAGAACCATCAATCCAGCTGATGGATCCAGTTCAATATGTAACAACCTCCACTCTTCCCGTAGATCCCACGGTGAGAGTATGGCTACAGCACTCATACATACAGGAATTTTGTAAGAATTGAGAGTTTCCATTATGTGTATTAGAGAACGGGTTGTTATTTAAACTGACTTCTCATCAATGGGGACTTGCAGGTTTTGGTCAGGTGGCATCTATTCATTTTCCACTTGGTTGTCAGTGGAATGTGATACTGAGTTACACAACTTGAGACCTCCCTCCCCTCYACTTGTGAACTTCTGGAGGTGCTGGGGGGCCCTAACTCATTTTTGGTTTCCTAAAACTGATGTAAAACAGCAATTACATTTCAAAAATCTACCACCATCTTCRTGTGCATCAGAGTCAAATTCAGCACTTCATTTGTTCCTTGTGGTTTTTAAGTGCAAGCATGTTATTAAACAACTAGTGAGAACAGAATATTTGTTCCTGAATGTGTTTCTTTGAATTGTCACTATGTAGGCTGGTWGCTCATGGAATGGTCAAAACATGAGCCAACAATGCGCTGGAGTAAATCCTTACCATGCAGCTTGACTTGCCACCCATGAAGACCAAACCTCCCTGCTGGTGAGGGTGAGCCTGAGCAGGGACATCTGCCTCCAGGATCCTCCTTCCTGCTATGATGCCTGGGTGCCTGGGACCTCCCAACGTGTCACCCCACTGGGAATCTGTTTGTAGCAGAACTCTGTGACTCAGAGCTTCCTTGTCACCTCCCTCTAGTTRAAATAAACCCTTTTAGCTCCATTCTCTTGAAGTACAGAACTGGCCGGGTGGCCTCTCCTGGAAAACACACTTGCATTTGAATCAAGTGTGTTTTCCAGGGCACCTTCCTGGCTTGCATTGCCTTACTCTGTAGGAGGAACTCTGATGGCAGAAGATTAAGCATGTGGTCTACAGTAGGGGTGCTGTTTGGAAGCTTGCAATTCTCCTTGATAGAATTGCTCATCTACTGCTCTATTCCAAAGGGCCCCTAATTTGCCTTCTTTTAGCTTGACCAGGTATATCAGTGGAAACACTGCCCTTGTCCATCACTCTTGGAGATCACTGGTCCCCATTTATGAGACCAGAGATCTTTGCAATTGAGTCCTGGGGTGTATAGTAAGATTTCAGATCATCCTTAGGCTCAAGGACTTCTGGAAAATCACTTTGATTCTTGACAAGCCATGGTGTTTGAATCCAGTTGAGAGTGGCATAAAAGATTTGACTTAGTCTTTGTGAAAATGACTCTAGACATTGTTAGTTTCCTATAGGGGTGTTAGTCCAAAGGTTTCCCGAAAGCATGTCCTAGTGGGGATACATTCAACCATAACCACTGGGTGAAGAGCTTTTTACCAGAGGAACTGCACTTCTTCCCATACTGTGCCCACCAGACACCAGCCTACCTTACAATAAACATGTATACCCACATATAAGTTTATCATATATACATCAGAATAACATGTGAATATTGTAAGGTCTGCACAAAAATTGGAAATTAGAAAGTTTGCAATTAAATAAATGTAAGTATTTATAAGTTATATGTATGTAAATATGTATATTTATATATAYGTATTTATATGTAAATATGTATATTTACTTATAATACGTATAAGTAAATATACATATTTACATATACATATTTTAAATGTATATGTAAATATGTATAAAATAATATAAAATATAAAAAATATTTTAGAGGTAATACTTCCCCTCAGCACCCGAACTAATTTCCACACTCACTGGACCGTAAGCAACACTCTTTGGAGACCACTGATCTAGAAAAATATCTGTGGTTTGTTTAACTTGTGTTTTGGAGGTGTAACATGGTAGCCACATCTGGACTTCTGCTATTGAAGGGTGTTGCACGGTTGGAAACTTCCTTTCCCCCAAGTGGAGAGGACAGTGTCCCAGGCTTAGAAGACTGAGTTCTGGGTGCCAGATACATATAGACTGTGTTCTTTTGTTCACTTGCTAATCAACTCTCCCTCCACTGGATCTGTACTTTCTGTTTCATTGATGTGTCCCCCATTGTCTGGATTCCTGCTTAGCACAGGGGAGACACTAATCCAATACTAAATAATTGGTTTTATTAAGCTCCATTTCATATATAAAATAGTTCAGTGTTTGTTCTACATTTCTAGTACATTTTGAGTAGTCGGTACATTTGAAAAGAACAACTCCTATAACATCTCTCATAGAGGGCTTCACAGACCTTCCCTTTCCCTCAAAAGGACTCATTAAAAATATACCCCAAACAAATTTAAAATTTTTAAAAAGTAAAACTCTTCACATATTATATATGAGTTGGTAAATTTTGAATTTTAAAATCAGAGGTAAGTAGATAGTGATTCTACATTTGATTTRAAAGCTTAATTTAGATGATCACATCTTTCATAGTTGACATACTATATTACTGTGTGAACCTGTATTAGCCATCTAAGCTAGAAAATATTTGTGGAGGTATTTTACAGAGCTGATGACCTTTCACAATGATGCCCTACTTTTTAAACTCTMAAGCTTAGACTCTAAGGTTTCGAGAGAGGGAGGGGAGCATGGTGGGCAGGGAAGGAGAAGCTGCTGTTCATGAAATGGCAGGTGGGGCTGGGTTGTGGGTTGTCTATTAGCCACTGGAGCCAAGAAGTGAAAGAGACTGACTTCCCAGATGGTCTCCAACTTACTTTTATTGCAGTGTCTTCCATGCCAACCTTCTTGACATTGGCATTTGTTGGGTTCCTGGCAGGTCCCGTGTGCCCCGCAGCCAGGCTCGCAGACAGCTGGAAGCAAAGGAGATAAAATAAATGTTTCCTCGGCTTTCCTTTTTCAACAGAATTACACAGCTCCTTTTCCTGCAGTTCTTTAGAACGAGTTAGTTTTGGCTTCATCGCCTAATTTTTTTTTTTTTCTCTTTCTAAACCATTCTCCAGGTAAAAGTCAGTTTGGGACTTCGTGAAAAAATCTTGAGAGTGACCCTTAAATAACATCATGTTCCTCATTTACAAAAGGATTTTGAAATTTGTGAGCAATGGAAGTTTATTTTCCTTAAGAAAACCTCTAGTGAATTAAAAAAATATATTAAAACGTTCAGTTGTATCTGTGAGAGTATGTAAATTCTGTTATGTGCATGGATTCCATAGAGTGCCTTTGGTCTACATAAAAGAATCATGTATGTCAGTGAGGAAAGGTTAACTGTGACATTTTGCAGTAGGAGAGTACAGCTAGCTCACTCGTCCCATAACCCATATTGATGAGGTGTGTGAGTACTTACGCTTAGAACAGAGGTCTCCTTGGTAACCTTTGGAGCACTTACATTTGCTTTTACCAATGCATTTACCTCCATTTCGACAGGGTTGTGGGCATTTGCCTAAAATAGAGAGCAATGCAAGTGAGCAAGGAACCCAGAGCTCCCTTCGGGGAATATTACATAAAGAATCACAAGGTTTTGAAGGGGTAAAAGCAGTATTTTCCATTCATTTCAGATCTAATCTGGCTTTTATATTGCTTGAGTTTTGTTTTTGAAATAGGTTAATACTTCTACTTTGAATACATATCTTCTTTCACCATAAATGTACTGCCCCAATGCCATAGTTCCATTTACATTTTGATTAAAAGAATAATCTTTTAACTGACTCACAAATTGTAATTTAAGATATAACTTACTAAAAGTTGATTTATGCATGACCCACTAAATGGTCTTTTCTCTGAGTTCCACTTTGGATTGTTTCTTGTTCTGAAAGCAGGTYTACACCAGTACCTGACCTCATAAGTCTTAGTCTAGGATTCCCCAGAAAGCAGGGCTTGCCTGCAGATAGCTTATTTTGGGGAAGTGAGCCTAGGAATGGGGCATGGGAAGAATGAAACAGGGTAGGAGGGAAAGTCAACACCAAAGTGTGGTTCAGTCACCACTATGAGCATTTTGCTGGGTCCTTCTAAGGAGCTGTATCAGCTGCACCTCAGAGTTGTCTGAAGAGAGAGGGGGAAGCATTTGTTCATCAGCATTTGACTCCCACTTGCCCCAAGGGGTAATTTCCTCACACTTCCATGCTGCAAACGCAGTACGTGATTTCTAAGGACTCAGAAATGTCTCTGAGTGGAGAGCAAAGGTGTTGGAATGGATAAGATGAAGTGCAATCAGCTCATACCTGTGCAAAACAGGTTGCTTCAGCAACGACAGGAGTTAAAGGTTGGCTGAGAGAATATGAGGCAGGTCACAAAAAGTACCCAGTAGCACAACCATACATTTTCTGGGAATGTCTTAGATCTTCAAGATATATCATTTTTCTTTTATCTCAGACCAAATTAATATTGGTCATGTTTTCACAGATTTTTGAACAGATTTTTAGACCCACCAGAAGACTTTAAAGGTAAAAATTATGCAATCATTTGCTGCCTTCTTACTCTAAAGGCTATTTGTTTTCTCTCTGCAATTTAGAATTTGCCATCCTAGGACTGAAGTTTTTGAAGAAGAGTATTGTCCTCCCAGGTGTGACACCACAGCCTGTGACTCACACAGTGATGTTCCAATGGGCAAGCAGCTTGGGTTTTGGTAGGGGACAAGTTTGGAATTTTGTCGTTGTTTTTCTTTCTTTTCACTTTTAGCAGAACATTCATTACAAAGGCCTCTGAGTACATAGGACAGCTGATGAAATCTATCCCTAACCATCTCACCTTTCATTCTCTAAACACTTCTTACGGTYAAAGAAAATACTATTCTTGAAAAATAAGAAGTGAATTCCACATGAAAATCACTTGACTGAAAACACTATTTTTCTTTTTACTTCCCTAAAGGGCTTTATTGACATTTACATTGATGAAAGCAGTATTTAGTCATTGTGGAGATAATACAGATATAACAATACTGGGGTGTTAGGGTCTCTCACAAACCTGATATACCGTTAAGAGTATGAGATTTTTTTTTAAAAACAACTTTCATAATAAAACACCACCTTTTTGTTGACCACAGAAAGTCCAAAAAAAGCCCTTTTTCTAGGTTTGCACATAAGAACACATTGTTATGGTTTGGATATGAGGTGTCCTGTAAAAACATCTGTGTTAATATAGGAAGTGAGATGATTAGATTATGAGAGCTGTGACCTGATCAACGGATTGATCCATTTGATAGATTAGTAACTTGAAATGGTCAGATTGAATGGTAACTGTAGGCTGGTGGAGTGTGGAAGTGGGTCACTGGAGTCGGCCCTTGGGAATTATATCTTGTCTCCTGGCTCTTCCTTCTCTCTCTCTCTCCCTCTCTGCTTCCCAGTGAGCCAGCCAGCCAGCCATTAACTGAGTATCTTTCCTTTATCATGTCTTTCCTCCATGACGTGTTATCTCACCTCAGGCCTAGAGCAATGGAGTCCACTGACCATGAACTGAACCTCTGAAACCATGGACCCTAAATACAATTTTCCTCCTCTAAATTGTTCTTGTCAGATATTTTGAATGAAAAACTGACTAATGAAACAATTTACTGTTTAGTTAATATCTCAACTCTTACCCAAAAGGAAGGAATATCTAACTCCAAATTTCTACTTGCATCAAAGAAACATCTGACCCCAAGACATACACAAAATTGAATCGTTCATGGTACTCTGCAACACACTGGGTTTTCCCCAAGAAAACACAATGTGGGATGATAATTATATGGCAAAGAAGATAGATTACTTATATGTGAAATACTTGGTGAGCCCTAATTTCCCATGGTGTAGGAGGAGTGAACTTGGTAAGCAGGAATACTGCAGAGATTGATCCTTGGCAAGAATCATTTCATTGGCCCAATGGGTCTTTTCTTGTCCATGGAATGATAGAAATGAGGAACCTTAGTTTCACCTCAGCCAGGAGGGAGGATATTCTCTCCTGGTTTTTACACCACCGAAAGGCAACTAACTGCAGGAGAGTTAGAAGTCCACTGCTAGTTCAAAGACTATAGGAACCAAACCTCATGATCTGATTGTTTTAAATTTCAGGATTCTACAATTGTCTTTAATATTTATGTTTCTTTTTCCTGAAAACAATTTGTGGCCAAATTCTATCCAATAGACAATGGAAAACTGAGTAGGCCTGAGAGATGACACATCTTTGTCCTAAGAGACTAAGCATTGCCTATGGACACCAGATTTGACTAAATTTAAACAGCATTTTTAGTACAACCAGTGGTTGAGTCCTTATGAGTACAATGTGATAAGATATTTATAAAACAAAGACATTAAACTTCCCACCAATGGGATGGTTGGATAAATTACCTTAAATTTGTGACACAGACAAAAAAGATCAAAGGGGTTTACAACCTGTGCCAACACTCATCATCTCCTAGAACGATGTCCTAGAATGGTGAGTGATTTTTAATCGTCTTCTCCAATATTCTAAAATGTCTTTACAAAGAACATTTTATACTGAAAGCTTTATAATAAGAACCCATTAATTTATTTTTAAACTTTATTTGTAACGCAATGGAAGTAAAGCTATGTGGTCTTTTTAACTGAAGGTTCATTGAAGATTCTTGGGAAATCTAGGAGCACACAAACATCCATCCATCCAGATACCTCTGACTACTGGTAAGGATGTGGGAAAATTGGAACTATTGTGCATTGCTGCACCTTGATGTGGATGTAAAATCATGCAGCTATTTTGGAAAATGGTCTGGCTATTCCTCAAAAAAATTTGAAACCACATGATTCAKCAATTCTACTCCTGGGTATATGTCCAAAAGAATTGAAAACTTATGTCGACACAAAGAACTTATTCACAAATGTTCATTACAGCAGTGTTCAAAAGAGTCTCCATGTGCAAACAACCCAAATGTTTATCAGCTGATAAATGCATAAACAAAATGCAGTTATACATTCCAGTGAGTATTATTCAGCCACAAGGACTGATGATGTCCTAATATATGCTACACCATGTGTGAACCTTAAAAATACTAGAAGAAACCTATGTGAAAGATGCCAGAAACAAAAGACCACATGTTGTATGCTCCCATTTATGTGAAATGTTCAGAAAAGGCAAGTCTGAAGAGACAGAAAGTAGATTAGAGGTTGCCAGAGCTGGGGGAAGAGGAGAATGTGGAGGAACTGCTGATAGGCATGGGTTTTCTTTTTGAGGTGATGAAATGGTCTGGATTGGACAGAGGTGGTGGCTGCACAACTTTGTGCATGTACTGGGTGGTTTAACAACTGGTTAAATTTGTGTTTTATGCTATGTAAATTATATCTTAATTAAAAAATAAGAATACATACTTCAACTATGCTGTTTTATCTATATAGTTGTAGAGACACTTTTCAACTCAAGACCCATTTCCATTTTTTCCTGATAATAAGAGAAACAGGAAATTTCCTTAAAAATTTTGAATGAAATTTGTGATCAAATTTGTCAGGGGTTTTCAAAGACCCAAATTTTTGATGCAGTTAGAGATAAAAAAAAATCACATGCACATGTATACACACAAGAATAAAAGCAGTGCTTCTGCCAACAGAAAGTGTGTAAATCCTAAGGGCATGAAGAGGCATCCTTACACAAAATGAGACCATGAGCAAAGATTCACACACAAACCAACTAAGTGTGCAACCTCTGGGGGTGAGGATGAGGAGAAAATTGAGGGGTGTCCATTCTGAGATATCTTTATCAGGGAAGGGTAATTAATAAGAATAGAAACCACATCCTGGCAATTAATTACATGTTTTATGGAAGCTTCAGAAGTATTTCATTTGAACTCTATAAAAAATGGTTACTTCACCTACTACTCATTAAAGTACAAAAACTCACAAATAAATTAGAGGCTGAAAGTTAAAGTCAGAACTTAGTATTTTTCAGTTTTTAATACACTACAACTTCACAAACTACGGCTGAACCAACGCAGTGATGCTTTACAGGTAAAACACTTTACAGGTAAAACATTTCTTGTTTCTGGAAACAAGAAATGCTGAACAAGTCTTCCTCAACACACATCAAAAAGGCAGAGACAGGGGCTCGGGTGTGGCTCAGTGGTAGAGCGCTTGCTAAGCATGTGTGAGGCACTGGGTTGGATCCTCAACACCACATTAAAAAAAAACAACAGAATGAATAAATAAAATGAAGTAAAAAAAAAAAAAAAGGCAGAGACACAGCAAATAAGCAGACACTGATTCCTTTAGCTCCTTCCTGGGCATGCATCCCACTATCTGAGCGACGTAGGGTGGGTTGACTCATTCCTCAGTTTAACAGAGAGGTGAAGTGACTCGCTGAGGCCTACACGGCTAGTAGGTGGTAGAGCCAGGATAAGCAGTTGGGTATATTAATTCCCCAAACAATGGGGAATTTTTACCCTTAAATTGTAACAAATATGGCAAAGGCAGAATATTCACCAATCTTATTTACAGTTTGATTTTCTTTTTCATAAACACTCACATGACCCTTCACTAATCAAGATACAGAATATTTTTGGCACCCCAAGAAATCCTTTTGTGCCTCCAACCATGATTCTCGTTTCCATCATCATCCATTAGCTTTGCCTATTCTTGAACTTCAAAACTAAGGAATCATCAGGAGGCACTGGAGTGTGTCTGGCTCCTTTCATTGAACAGGTGGGAGGCTCTCATGTTGCTGCATGTGCTATTAGTGTGTTCTTTTTTTTAATTGCTATGCATGTTTTTGCCCCTTTTTAGGGTATTCCCTTTTCTCTTAGGTGGGTAACAAGATTCAGTCTATTCTAGGATATCTGGCAGCAATGGCAGCCAGTGGCAGAGGAAACCCTGCTATATCTGTAGGTGGGTGACAGATCACACCTGTTTCAGAGCTCTGGTCTATGTTTCACGGCTGAAGCTGTGGGCTCTGCATAATGCAAAGTGGAAATAACTAAAAAGAAATAATACGACATGCTGAAACCATTTGTTCTGTGTGCTCTGAGGCTCATGAGCCATGTCTGTCCTCCCTTTTAACCAAAATAAGTGGCATATGAATCTAGCAAAAAGAAACCAATGACTTAAGACCTTACACAAACTATGTGTTCTTTCTGGGCTTCGGATTCCTCTGGTAAAGGAAGGGATTAGAAAAAAAAATGGTTAAGATTCCCAGAGAACAAAGAGAAAGTGGAAAGTCAGTACTCACTTCTTTCACACTGCTCCCCTTCTAGACCTGGGGGACAAATGCATTTTCCAGGGTAGAAACAGGTCCCTCCATTAAAGCAGGTGGTTGAGCAGTTTGCTGTCAGAATGAACAACCAGGGACTGCATTAGACAATGGGTTAAACTGAACAAAAACTCTATAAAGTGCATGATGTTTCTTAGGCATCTGTACTTGCTCATTTACTTCATAAAGTAAGCTGCTTAAGCCCACTTTACAAATACAAAAACTGCAACCAATTACTTCAGTTATTCACAGTAATTGATTGGAATTACAATTACCATCAAATTACAATTACACGATTTCATAACATAATAGGGGATAATAGGATATCACATACATTCTATTCCTCCCACTCTTAGAAGCTTATATCTTAATGAAAAAAGGCATGGAGTATATAAAATAAACCTGCCTTTTAATTTTTTAAATAAAATCAATGCTCTGAAAAGGAGAAGAATGCTGTTATAAATCCAAGATTTTTTTTAACATCTGGTTGCAGGATAAAAGAAGAATAAAAGGTGAAACTTACTTTCGAATAGACAAAAGAAAAAAAGAGAGAGAGAGAGAAGTCATAAATATTGGGATCCAACAAAGAAGAAAGCAATGTTTTGTGTTTTTTTTTTTTTAGGAAAAAAATGAACAGGGATTTATTTTATCTAACAGATTTTTTTTTWWWAAAAATGGGCTTTTATGACATTTAGATAAAAGCATAATTGTACTCAGAAAAAGACTGCAGACCCTTGTGAGATCACATAGGTAGGGATATGGTGGCAGCTGAGTTGGAGGGATAAAGCTGGATGTATTCTAGTGGGAGTCCAATTAGCTACATTATCTAGGTTAATAGTCATACTGTGATTCAGCCTAAACCCTCCCTCTTGGTTTAGTTTCTGGAATTTCACTGTTTGCTGGCACCTAAAATAGAGGGAGGACAGAGAAATGGGAATGGAGGAGTGGGAATGGAATGTCTAAAAGTAGACAAGCTGGCTCATTCTGTAAAGGCTAAAATTAGAGTTTGGATTTTTAGCAATTTCAGTTATATATCCTATTTGTTTTTGTCCCATATAAAATGGGCCAAAATTGGCTCTAGCTGAACAAAAGCTAAAGCAAGCTTCCAAAAGGAAAATCAGAAAGGAAATCCAAAAGTTATATGTGTGCTCTCTTTGTGGAAAAGAATTCCAACTAAAATATTTTACAAATATCCTGCTTCTTAAATGATAAATGCTGTGTTTAAAATCACAAGCATCTCCCAGCTCCAGATAGTGCTATACTTGTTTTGGCAAAACCAAGCATCTTGACTTAGAGAGGAACAGTAGCATTTTGGTAGAGAATTCAGGAGATCCATTCACGTGGCCCTCTTTTTTGCTACTTGGTGCTGGTATCTGTATCACTGGTTGTTTTTGTGAGTGTGTCCTGTTCCCCAACTCATTCCTGTTTCTCCTAAGGATATGAGGAAATGAAACATTGGGATCAATATCCATGTGGTCCTTTCCCTGTGAGAACTGCTCCTTACTGTTATCTAGAATGCTCTGAGCCTGGTAGCTTAATTGAATAATAAAACTTGGTAAAACTGATTATATAATTGAGCCACAGTCTTAGTTTACTGCCCTGACCACACTTCTCCAGATTTCTGCAATGGTTTGGATATGGTTTGTGTCCCTAAAAGATTCATGTGAAGGAATCTTGGTCTCCAATGCGACAGTATTGTGAAGTGTTGGAATCTTTAAAAAATGGGATCTAATGGAGGATGGTTGAATCACTGGGGCTACCATCCTCAGAAAGGATTAAGGTAGCTCTATGGGACCTTAGTTACTGAAAGAGGAAGTTGTTATAAAAAGTGCAAGCCTGGCCTGTGAATCTTCCTCGTTTCCTATCTGGCCATGTGATGTTGTCTCTTCCAGATATTCCCATAATTCCATTTACCAAGATGTGATATAGTCAGAAGACCCTCACCAGAGAGCAGATGCTGATGCCATGATCTTAAATCTTCAGAACCGAAAGCTTAGTTACTCCTTTCTTTATAAAGTACTCAGCTTTAGGTATTTTATTATAAAAACAGATTAATATAATTTCTATTGTACAGTGAGCCAGAGACACTTTCAGTGRAGCTGAGAATATATTGGCTAATGCTTAACAACTCATTTCCTAACATTTATGGCACATGTCCCAAGGGCCAATGAAAGTTGTTTTTTAATGTCTGTTCTAGAATGTAGTGCTAAAGTCTAGCTCTATGCCAGTAACTAAGCCATTTTTTTTTCAGAAGCTCCATACTGTCTTCTGAATAATGAAAGCCTTTTTTGTTGTTGTTGTTGAGAAAGTAAAAAATATTTTTAAAATATTCTCAGATCTTTAGAAGACCAAGTGAAATTTCAATGAACTTTCCAAGAACAAAACAAAAATTACTGGTGTCTAATAAGTAGGAAAACTTTCATCTGAAATATAAAATATAAAGATACTGGAATACAGATAGATATATTCCCTCTTTAGTGACCATGAAGTGTTCGGGATGTGGTAGCATTAGTAAAACATTGCAATGCATACCCCACTGTGCAAACCACACCAATAATGGCCACATCTACATAAGCAGACCACACTAGTGGTTTCTTTAAATATGTGAATATAATCATTCTTCATTCAACTATCTGAAAGATTTGATTTATTTTCTAACAGTTTCAATATAACCTGAGCTTAATTCTGCTGTAAGAAATGCCCAGTTTTAGAGGGTGGGGGTGTAGCTCATTGGTAGAGCACTTGCCTAACATGCACAAAGTCCCAGGATCAATCCCCTGTATGCTTAAAGAAAAATAAAGGGTTAATAACACATACAGGAAGAAATGCTCAATTTAGAAATGGCAGAGATGCCAAATGCTAAATTTAGACAAAAAGAGGATTCACAATCAATAACTTTACTTACTGTCTGTCATTATTGTTAGTGTTATTAGAGTTCAATCTTCATGAATACATGTTTTTAAAAATTATTTTCAGTTTAATGCTATGATTTTTAAAAGACCATTTTTTTTTAAATGTAGAAAAGCTTTTGGATATTATCTCAGTTAATTCAGGCGTCAGGACAGGAAGGTCAATGACTTCCTTCCAAATTTAGCAAAGGAAAAACCATGGTCCAAAAATAGAGCAAGTTACCTGCTGAAGACCAGAGTCCCTCACGGGGAACCAGGACCTGAATTAGGTAGCCTGGGTTGCACCATGGTACATAGAAAGGAGTGAATTTGTGTTAAGCTGCTCAAGTTCTATAAACCTCACTATGCTTATCTGGGAATGAAACGAATAATACTTTCCATATCTCAAAAGTCTGTTGAGAGTAAAATCAGACAATTAGATAATGAATGTCATAAAATAGCAGACAACCATAAGTTATTATTCTGACTCATGCTGAGGGCTTTTTACATAGCTTTTCTTTCTTTAAAAAGAAAAAAAAAAGAAACTGTGCATTATAATCTTGGTACTAACTGATCACTAAAGTGTCACTTCTTCAATTAATATTCATCATTTTATTTCAAAACATTTTTATTAGCCCCAAACAATGCTCTTTTCATAAAATTAGCATTCTAGATGCAAAGGTAACTCCATTAAAGACACACACTTTGCAGAAACTTCTAAATGTTTTCCCACTTGCAAGATGTGAACTGGGCAAAATAGACTGGTATCTTGTACAGAATATGAATTGTTCAGCAATATTGTAAGGCTAAGTCTGAATCCAGTCTCTAAGAACAAAATTTGACCATTGCTGCAATGTTAAGAAGGAGGCATGTAACCTCTAAGGGACATGTAACCTTGTGAGCCAAGTATTGAGTTGGGAGTCAGTACACCTTTAGGTCAGTCAATTTGGAGCACATTGTTTGATGTGACCTGATAAGCTCACCTACAAAATTTATTCAGGCATATCAAATTTCCAGCTGTTCACAAAAATTCATGATCCCCTCCCATAACAAGAGTGGTCAGTGGAAGACAGGCCAGGATGACATTCTGGCTACATTCAGAGAGGACCAGGAGGCTAATTCCTACCCATAATAGATGTGGAAGTTTTGTGGGTCACTTCTGGGGGCTAGCATTTTTGGGGGGAGGGATCCTTAAAGAAATACCTACTGCAATCTCCCTTCTCTACTTTGTTGACTGGACCTAGAGAGCTCCAACACTCCAGGCAGGAGCACAAGATGGAAGGTGCCTGGTCCCCTGAATCACTGCATGGAGAAGGGCTGCACTATCCACTAACCCCCTAATCCTGTGCTGGAGCATTCTGTGAACGAAAACAACATTCTGCTGTGTTAAGCTACACTCAAATGGGGGTTTCAATTATTATACCAGTCATCTTTACCCTGAGGGATACATCCTGCTTATAGAGTGATGACACATTTAGTGCACTTATTTGAATCAAACGTTTAAAATGTAAAACTTGATTCTTAAAAAGAAACTATTACCTTTATCACAATTGACTCCATAGAATCCAGGTGGGCAGATGCAGAAACCAGGAGTAACACAAAGTCCGCCATTCATGCATCGTGGTGTGCAAAGGGCTTATGGGGAGAGAGAATTCTGATTAAGGCCAAATGGGGATTTGGGGTGGAATCATTTTTAAATATCAATAGTATAATAACTTTAAGCTTTGTAGTTGATTCTAAAATGTGCACCCTTCTGAGATACAAGTTTGCTATATAAAAAAATGTTTTGTGGTTTTAATTAGGCTATTTTTCAACGTCTCAATTTCTTAGAAAATAATTTTGAATTTGTTTCATTTTGAATGCCTGATTAAATTTCTTTTTCCAGAGTCATCTTGACTAAGGTGTGGTTTTTTTAAAACTGCAAATATTTCCTCTCTGCCCTACATCCTTGATCTTCCAATTTCAAAATAAGCGCAAATAAGAAAACTTAAGAAAAATATTCTTATTTCTTAGAGATAAAAAATGTTTTGTTTACTCTGGTCAAATAAAGCTCTTGGTATTTAAGCACCTTATAATTAATATTCATYCTCTTGCTTACCTCTTTTTTTCACAAAATTATCTTAAAAGAAATTTCCCTGAAATGGACATACTTCCTACATAAGTTATTTTCATCCTTTTTTTCTTTTAGTTGTTATAACTTCATAGCTATGGTATGGACTTAATTGTGAATCAAGCCACTTTTAATTGGAATAGATAATTTCAAATCAATGGCAATTTTTAAAGCCAACTTAAGTAGAGAAAATCAACCTCAAGACTTTGATAAGATTATGCTAAAGTACAGTGTGTACAATAGTGGGAAGGGGGTCTCCAGAGTGTTGACCCTTTCCAAAGTTCTCTCCCTGTGTCGCCACATACAGGGTTTCACAGAAAACCACTGGCAGAAGAAATACTTTCAAATAACTCTTTTATGGTTTCTTAATTTTTATAATGTGACCAAAAAAATAATTTTAGGAGATGTGTTAAAAAGCCACGTGGGACTCCTGTGACATCATGTTCATTAGGAAGCAAACAAGAGACACCAACTTCTGTTCTTTACCCTTCTCACAGTGAGGCCCGTAGAATCCATCAGGACACTCGCAGACTCTTCTTTCATTACAAAAGCCTCCGTTTCGGCACCCTCCTGGGCACTCAGCTGCACCAAAGAGAAACCAAAGGTAGTTGGGTATCCTTGGAATCATGCTGGGTGAGTCACAGCCAACATGATATATTAGGGATCATCTTTATTTCAGCTCTCCAATTACTGTAGATGGAGGGCCCAGATACTTCTACTTTATTCTCCATACAACACTTCCATTTCTCTACATTGTCAAATTTTGCCTCTTGCAATCTTACTTCCAACAGTAGGGGGCTCGCGGACAAAGGTAAAGCAAATTTTTTATCCTGCCTTCTTCCCTACCTATCAACCTACCATACCTCCTTAAATTCACACTGTAGAAGAATGAAGGATATTGTCCTCATTCACTTTTAGAGAGGGGGATGACATTTTGGATACATCTTGAGAGCACTGACAGGCTCCAGAGCTTAAATTTTGTACAGCTGGCATAAAGATGGAAAAGAAGTCAAGCTTCCATGCTTACGGGACACCTGGGACACTGCAGGGAGGTGCTGAGTGAGCCTTGGCCCACAGGGACACTGAGTGACAGTGACATCCTCTCCTCTGTGGATGTGACTGGCACCAAGTTTTTGGAAGGGAAACGTCTAGTGCTGTCTTTGACAGGTAGAAAGTGCTGGTAATGACTGGCACTCACAGTGAAGAACTAGAGAAAGGAAAGAGACTACTGGAGAGTCTCAATTAGTAAAGCAGGAAGAAGGGAGGGCATTTTGAAGGGGAATGGGAGTTGCTATAATTTTAAGTGATGCCAAAACCAGAGAAAAGCCTGTCTTAGTACTGTCACTGGACCCTGTGTTACCCATCCTCCCTTCTATTGGTATGGTTATAATTATCCAAAAAAATCTATAACAAATTTTTTTTAATATTTATTTTATTTAGTTCTCGGCAGACACAACATCTTTGTTGGTATGTGGTGCTGAGGATCGAACCCGGGCCGCACGCATGTCAGGCGAGCGCGCTACCGCATGAGCCACAACCCCAGCCCCTATAACAAATTTTTTGTCATAATCACACCTGGAATCCTTATGGGCCTCTTGAGTCACTATTAATGCTTACCTTGCTGACATGTTTTAAAGAAGATAGCATTTTGAGGGGTCTGGAGGATGGTGTTGCCTTCAGAATTCATCACAATCACATTCACTTCAAATGCTGCCACCCCATCTTGTTTTCCAAGACATGGGAAACCAACTTGAACAACTAAAAGAAAAAGAGAGAAGGTATGGGGAAACAGATGATTCCAGTTTTACAGAAATCTTGGGAAGAGACACCAAGAACAAAGCAACACTGTTCACATTTTCATGACTTTCTTGTACCCCTACTGGAGTAGGGACTGTATTTTGATCGTCTGGGCATTCTTCACAGAACTTGTGCGCCATGCCAGGTAGAGAAAGAATGGATGTACTTTCCTAACASAGAATTGGAGGATGTTTTGTTGAAATTCTGAGCTTGTATGATCTTTGAAAAAGCAAAAAGATCTTCTCTGGAAATTAAGGGTGCAAAARGGAAGCATAAATTTATTAGGAAGAAGACATTTTGTGGGCACCTTCATCATCTAGAAAGAGCTAGAAACTAATATTTCATCACCCATTAAATAAGCTCCATGAGCAACACCCTCCTAGTTTATTTTTATACTGTATGCTTGAAAGTGACAAACTGTCTCCTTTGAACATACTCTACAACTCCACGAGACTCCAGTCATTGGCTTGAGTTAATGTGTTCATATTTTCTCAGGCTACTTGTTAACATGAAGAAGTATTTGGTGTGATGAAATCATCTCCTGGATGGGCTTATAATTAATGGTTCCTAATAAGGAGCCAATTCTTCCAGGTGGGTCTGTTGATCACTAGGCATGTGTAGGTGTTGACAAGGGCGCTACAAAGCAGGCAGTAGGAACCAACAACATTGCTGTATGGAGAAGGTGAGGAGGCCACCATTTGTGGAATAATCACAAGTCATTGGGTGAAATGGGGCAAATCAGGTGTGATCATTGATAGACAGACTGACTAGGCAAATTTCTGGGGATGACTCTCCAGCTGAACCACTAGACTCTAGGTCTTTAGTAGGAATAAGAAGAAATATTGCCAGTAGGTACACATGTGAGATTTTGCTTCTTTTTTTTAAGAGAGAGAGAGAAAAAAAAWTTTTTTAATATTTATTTTTTAGTTTTCGGTGGGCACAACATCTTTATTTATGTGGTGCTGAGGATCGAACCCAGGGCCCCGTGCATGCCAGGCGAGTGCGCTACCACTTGAGCCACATCCCCAGCCTGAGATTTGGCTTCTTTTTGTTTCTGTGTGGCAGGTATAGTTATGACCCTGCTTGGGCAAATCATATTAAACCAAGACAAATTTCTTTATTTTTAGAGGGTTCATAAATCTTCCTCCTGGGTTTATAAGAAGAACTGAGCTGAAAATTGGTCTGCTGGAAGAAACACATAAGCTGGTCATGCAATTTTTGTAATGTACTCGGCAATCAAAACCCCTCTAAAGGCTTTGCCATGGTGAGGGTCCTTTAAGGTCTCATTCCCAAAGTAATACATTTTTCTAGTTCCTGAGTCTTGAGAATTGAACATTGCAAAGAATTGATTATATGATTAAAAGGAATTTTAGCTATTTTAACAGAAGTAAGAAGAGATAGAAAACCAATATTGCGTTCAAAGTTTCAAAGTAAAATTATATCCATTGAGAATCTTGGTTAAATGAAATCCTACATATGACAATGCCCAGTTATCAAAAAAAAAAAAAAAGTCACTAATAGAGATTTCTATTTCAGAAGGAAATAAAGGAGTCAATCAATAATTTTTAAAAACTTCTTTGCTTTTCCAACTCGTTTACACTAACCATTTATGAAGCTTTACCCTCTTTTGAATCTTCTGCATAGATCAGTAAACCAGTAATTGCCCTGAGCTATAAAAATATGGAAGAACACGAAAGGACACTTAAGGACTGAGCTCGTAGAATCTTTCTTGCCACAAGCTTTACTGCCATCACCCCAACTTTATTGGTTTCCAGGTATATCTTTTTCTTGGTCCTTATTCAGCCTCCAATTTGCAACCCACCTGACTCTTTTTAAAAGGCACTTGAATTTTATTTTGGGTTTCAGAATATTGGTATGAGAAGATGCTTGTACATAAACTTATCTCATTTCTCCTCGTCAGCATAGTCAAACTTCAAAACATGTCTTCGATGTCAAATATCAAAAAATTCCTTATTAAGTGTATGGGAAATTCATTTAAGATTAGTAATTCTTCTAATCTACAGATATGCTCAGGGCAGACCATTTATGCAAATCTGGTTAAGTTATAACTTCATTCAGATGTTTTTAGGGAACATCTAGGGAGTTTGGAGTGCTTACATAAAAGTGTATGGTTTTCTAATATGGCCTCTATGTCAATGAAAGTAAAGATTATACTCAGAGAATTCCCTGCCTTTGCAGGGATGCAAGAAAAAAAAAATATATGGTTGTGTGGGCTGTAGTTCAGTGGTAGAGTGTTTGCCTATCATTTGTAAGGCACTGGATTCAATCCTCAGCACCATGTAAAAAAATAAATAAAGGAAACTATTAAAAAAAAAAAAGAAGATGATATCGTGACTTAAAAAATATATATGGCTATGCATAATCCCAGGGAAGAAAAACAAGGATGCAAAATAAAATAGAAAATTCAATGAAGAAAATACATCATAAGTCATTTCCATTAGGGTTTTCAAGGTTAACCATAGCTGGGCACAGTGGCAAATGCCTGTAATCCTAGCAGCTCAGGAGGCTGAGGGAGAAGGACCAGCCTCATTGAGAGTGAGGCTGTTACACCACTCAGTGAGACCCTGTCTCTAAATAAATTAACAAAAGAGGATGTGGCTCAATGGTTTAGTGCCCCTGAGTTCAATCCTGGTACCTCCTCCTTCAAAAAAGGTGTTAACCATTCTCTTTTCTGACTAAATACAAATTATAGAGTTTATCCATTCAAGAAATATTTATTGGGGCTGGGATTGTGGCTCAGTGGTAAAGCGCTCACCTAGCACGTGTGAGGCCCTGGGTTCAATATTCAGCACCACATAAAAATAAATAAATAAAATAAAGGTATCATGTCCAGCTACAACTAAAAAATAAATATTTTTTTAAAAAAGGAAATATTTATTGAATGTCTGCTCGGTGCCAGTCATTATTCTATGCACTGAAAATGCTTCAGTGGACAAAACAAAATTGAAAAATTCTGTCCTTGTGAAGTTTAAGTTTCAGTGATTTAATTTGAACATATACAGCAATAGCAAAATATTTAAATCACTTAAAAATTTAGAAAAGTAAAGTAAAAATTGATGTGTTTAAAGACAGAGACTTAAATTAGAATTACAAGTGGTGGCAATGTTTGTTTGGGGTCTGCTACTACCGCATTCTTTGATTTTAACCTCTTTTATAATCTCTCTACCTCTAACTTCCTATATTTTAATATTACTAGATTTTCTATATTTTAATTTTACAATAGGTACATAAATGTCATCAGAGAATATTGCCTAATGTTTAAAACAAGATCAATAGAAAATTGAATCTGCTATGACCCACTGATTTTGGGTAGTTTAGTTAAACTCTTTGTGTCTGAGTTTCCTCATTTAACCATAAGACCAATAATAATGCTATAAAAATAATTTTTATAAAATTTATGTGAAAAGTTATTTTACTTGAATAAAGAAAATTATAATGTTAGGCTGGGGTTGTGGCTCAGTGATAGAGTGCTTGCCTAGCACGTGTGAGGCACTGGGTTCCATTCTCAGCACTGCATATAACTAAATGTATAAAATACAGGTCCATCAACAACTAAAAAAAAATGGAAAAAAAAAGAAAAATGTAATGTTATGTCACCATCAAAAAGTGTCTTTCATTTTAAAAGTCTTATCAAAGTACTTTACAGCTGGATGTGGTGGCTCATGCCTGTAATCCAGGTCATTGGAGAGACCGAGGCAGGAGGATCACAAGTTCAAAGATAGCCTTAACAATTTAGCAAGATACTGTCTCAAAATTAAGAAATAAAAAAGGGCTGGGGATGTAGCTAAGTGATTAAGCATCCCTAGATTCAATCCCAGTATCAAAAAAAAAATGCACTGTACACATAACAGCATAGTTATACTAAATTGTGCCTAAGGCAAAAGAGAAAAACAGTCTTTTATGTTTTTAAATAGAAAAACTGTAAGAAATTTTGGAATTTTGGTAGATAACTAAATATAAGATGTAGTATTTTCCTCTTCTTAGTAAAGCAATAGAAATGATATCCCTCAGAATTTTCTTTCTAACCTAAAATTATGTCCAATTACTATTAATATTAACAAAGTATTATAAATTTCTTTCTTTTCTTCCTTCCTTCCTTCCTTCCTTCCTTCCTTCCTTCCTTCCTTCCTTCCTTCCTTCCTTCCTTCCCAGGGATTGAACCCAGGGGCACTTAACCATTGAGCCACATTCCCAGCCCACTTTTTTGTATTTTTTATTTTGAAACAGGGTCTTGATAAGTTGTTCGGGCCCTTGCTAAGCTGCCAAGGCTGGCTTTGAACTTGTGATCATCCTGCCCCAGGTTCCAGAGCTGCTGGGATTACAGGCATGTGCCAATGAGCCCAGCTCTTTCTCATTTTTCAAAGATCCAACTGTTTCCAGGCTTAAAATCTTTGCTTATCTTATTTATATAGAATAATTCCAAACCACCCAAGTAAAAAATTGAACACATTAAAAATCCAGCAGCCCAAGTGGAAAAGCTTTATTTACAATATCTATCTCTTCTGATATAGGAGGTATGTAAACATAGCTGTGATCTGAACCCTCATATGGAATTATTTGAAAAGAACCAGAAAATCAACTTTAGGAGTTAGGAGGTACCTTGTTCATAAGTTTCAATGAATTCATTTTCAATGAAAAAGCAAAAGTAAAAAAGGTATAAATTGTAGAAATTACAGTTGCCCATCTTTGAGCCGTAAAACATGAAATGAAAATTTTCTGTTCATTTCTAGAAATTCTGCTTGCCTTTCTTTTTGCTTACTCAGTTTTATGCATAAGAAAGTTTAAGTAATAAGAATTACAAGAATGTCTTAAAAGTTCTGAAATATCATTTTAAAAGAAAACAAAACAAAATCTGACTTTAGTTAGCCTCATCTCCATTAATTGCCTTTTGTGAACCCTGTATGCTGCCCAAACTGTATTTCTCTCAGTTTCTCAAATATGTGGTACATGTCCACAGTGTGCTGCCTGCACACCCAGCTGCCTGGAATGTTCTTTCTCTTCTTTTCTGCCTGGTGTCCGCCTACTCAACTTTCAAGGCCAAAATGAAATAGCATTTGCTCTCTGTAGCCTTTCCAAACACCTCCTGCCTGAATAATTTCATTTACATATTTCAAAAATACCTCTATATAAAATTTTATTGTAGTACAATGATTTCATTATGGTCTGCGGCTTTACTAAAGATGAAATTTTCAGAGGCAAGAGCCATATCTAATTTTTATTTATTTTTTTTTATAATCTTAGCCCCTAGCCTATTGTTTGTCCCAAACTAGGCACTGACAGAACCAATATAGGTTATGGGAGACACACTCCTTACATACTCAGGCACAMACTCTGCTCACATGCACAAAGACGGGAATTCACCATAGACGATGGGAGGTACAGAGAATAAAATATTAGCAGCATGTATCTGGAAAGAAACACACACATAGAAGAAAGGCATCAAAGGCAGAAAAAGCATAGGCACTTTACTTCTAAGGAATAATAAAATGGAAAGTCATGTTGTGTTTTTGCAACAACAAGAAAATGAGTACCGAGCCACTTTTACTAAAAGCTAAATAAAATTAGGCCAGATGTGAATTCCCAGGCAGTCTAGGGTATATAATCTAAACTGAATGAATTAAAAGAATTTAGGAAAACTAAAGCAGATTAAGTTTCACTCACATGGCATTCAAGTACACAATGATGTACAACTGGTTGCACGTAAACTAACTGTTATGTAAGTGCAATCTTTTTCTAATTGAATACCTCTTCCACCATGAGATGGGTACAGTGCTCATACTGTCTCGAACTCTAGTCGTTTGAGGACTGCCTAGTAAAGGAAGAGGTAAGAAAGGCAGGCAAGTGCTCAGTCTCAACGCTGCAGGATTATAAACTGCTCCATGGTTAGAATTTATCCCACGTAAATGTCCACCAGTTCTTCAAGTTGCCCTGACAGCCCTTCATTGTCTCAGCAAATCTGATCCCTAACTCTTGGGCTTCATATTCTGCTAAGAAGTGGGGCCACCAAGGAGACAGTCCCTCCAAACGTTAGTGCACTGAATTCCTGAAAGTCATAGTTGAGAAACACCACTGCTCTGTGGGTTTCATGTTATGACAGAGACAGTGTTCAAAGAGGCAAAGCCCTGGCTTTATGGAAACTGTTTTTTGTTATACAACTCAGTAATTTTACTGAACCACCCTGCAGTTTGTATTTCCTGTTTTTGTTCTCTTCAGATGCCAGAAGGCAGGCACTTCATAATTGTTAAAGATCAAGAGTTTTCTTTCTTTCTTTCTTTCTTTTTTTTTTTTTTTCAACGCAGTGTTCAGGCATATAGGAGTCTGTGGGATAAAAGAACAGCTTAGCAGCTTGGGGGTATAAAATAGCCCAGTGGAATAATGAATGCTACCTGGATGCTTAAGAGCAAAGACACACTGATTTGGTTACTTTTTAATAATTCAATGTACCTTCACCTCTCCTACTGTGGTGACTGAGTTAATGAGGCTAATGAATAACTGCCCTGCGATAGTCTAAAATTCCCATAAACTTCTTGTACCCGCATTTTTCTGCAAACAAATAGTACATGTTCTTTTAAAAAAAGTGCATGTGTGCACACACACACATGTGAGCATACCACCTGGTCCCAGAAGAAAGCTTATTCTTTTAAACTTGCCTTGCTCCAAGTGTCATCCACTTTTTCCTCTAAATTTTGTTATTTTTAATGTGTAAATTATCAGAATTAGTATAAATTGATATGTTTTTGTTTGTTTGTTTTGTTTTTGGTACTGGGAACTGAACCCAGGGGTGCTTAACCACTGAGCCACATCCCAGCTCTTTTTCATATTTTATTTAGGGACAGGGTCTCTCTGAGTTGCTTAGGGCCTGCTAAGTTACTGAGGCTGGTTCATGATCCTCCTGCCTCAGCCTCCCGAGTTCCTGGAGGAAATTGATGTTTAATCTAAATATTATCTATTAAAACATTCTCACATCACATGTTCAATGTTGAGAAGTAGAATCTTGGTAAAATTTTTAAACTAGGTTAAAAGCTCTTAATTAGAAATCCAAAGATGCAAGATTTATTGGTAGCTGATCAGATATAACTGTAATTAATGCATTGATCTTCTTTTTCTTTAATAATCAGAAAAAGACAAAGAAAATTTTCAAAAATACAAGTTGGAAATTGAGAGACATGCTAGATATTTATTTTATTCTTGACTCCTTTTTTAAAAAAAGGTAAAAAAATATGATCAAGAAAAATTTCATATAAAATTATCTCTGACTAAAAAGGTACATTATATGACATGGCAGGAGGCTAAGTAATGATCATATTCCAAGAACTTGGCTGTTGTAGCATCTTTCTTGTCTCCATGATGTAATAAAGCCCCATCAATGCCATCTGAGTGGAACTGGGATATCCACATCTATGGAATAGGATATCCATGTCCTTGGGGCTACAAATGTTAGGCAAATAAATCTCCAGAGCACAAGTACTCATTCCTTCACACAGAACTACAAATCCATCTAGATGCGTAGTAAATTCCCTGGGAGGGCTGCCAGTCACTACAGCACTGAGATGATCAGAGAGAACTAAATTCATACTTTTCCTGACTACACTCACAATAGCATTTACACCAGGAAACTAGAGAAAGTGTTTATTTAGCTCTCAGCTCTTACAACACTGTAATGCAGCACTGCAGATGCACTGGGAGAGGCAGATCACTGCAACCTGAAAACATCCTTTGGGAAGATGCCTGATTTCTTGATCATTGTATAGACTTAGCTCCTAAAGGGACTTTTTTATGATATCTGAAAAAACTATTCTAACCTTCTTATAACAGAGTAAGATTAAAAAATTTTTTTCTTAAAAAAGGGGGGTTTGTTGTCAATTATTTTAAATAAAGTTGTTACTATTACAATACTAAATAAACAGTAAGCTGTAACTAAGTTCTACATGTAGAAAAACTTAAAGTGAATGAAGGCACATATTATGAATCAGTGAAACCTCTCACACTAGAAAAGCTGATGACCCAGAAAACAAATTTGAAAGCCCTGCTTCAGGCTATTGCCAAAATAAATTTTTATAAAATAATAGAAGCATGTGTAAAGTATCACTTTACTGTTCCCTGGACTAGGAATTAATTTCCAAAAGCAAAAGGAAATGGAAAAAAAAACTTGCAAAAGAAAATATACTTTGAAAACATATAATTCGATCCCCTTCTCCAAAAAAATAAAATTTAAAAATATATAAATGGTAAATTGAAAAAGTGCATTAAAGACAATCTATTTATGGCAAGATTTGCAAAACAATAAGAATATCATTATCCCAATATAAAAATCAGCATGGAACATAGGTATTTTGTGTTGTCTACTAGATTGAAATAAGTATGTCCTATCTTAAAAGGAATTTTTAAATAATCAAATTAAAACTATGCTGTGAAAAAAATCTCTTTTCACTTTTTAAGTCAGCAAGGTGGTTAACAGGATTAATGACCTATGTTGATGAGATTATAGTAAGCCAGGCACTCTCTCACACTGCTAGCCATGGTACCAACAGGTACAACTTTTATGGAAAGTAATAATGGCATTGTGGCAATTTAAGAGCCTTTTAAAAAGTTCATGGTTCATGTCCTTTGACACAATAATTCCACTTCTAAGAATCCATTTGAACAAAATAATGAGATAAGCACCAAGATTTTGGTGTTCACATTAATCCTACAATTACTTTCTGTGTGCCTGCTCTTTGCTGGGCCTTGTGCTAAGCATCATGGTGAATAATGCAAATTGGGCTCCTGCCCTTTGGGAAGTTAACATCTATTACTTTTAAAAGTATGTTTACTGTGATATTTCTAGCATGCAAACTCTAAAAACAATCTCATTAATAAACAATAAAAGAATTGTCAAATTATTATATATCCATAAAATAGAATATTATAATGGACACTTTAATGATTTATAAAGAGCATTTAAAAAGAATTTTTGAAAAAATTTATAAATGACATGGGCAAATGCTTATGATAAAGTGTTAAAAGGAAAATAATAATGATGTAAAACTATATATACAATATTACTATTATACAAAAATATACATTCATTTAAAAAGACTAGAAGGAAATACATGATTGTGTTCACACACATGATCTCCATCTCTATCTAAAATCAGAAATCTTGGGCTTTAGTCTCAATTCCTCTACTCATTATTAATATTTGTCTTTGGGAAAGTCAGTTAAACCTCATAACTCTTCATTTTCTAATTTACAAAATGAAGCTATAATTCTGGTCTTAACGTACTCAAATTAGATAATGCAGGAATGGGTTTCACATAAGATGAAAAACTGAAAACAAATATTACAAACTATTATTTTCTTAGTAAAGAAGGATTATGGTTCTGAAGGATGATGGGATCTGAATCCCTTTTCCCCCACTTTTCCTTGTGTTTCTCTCATTCAAATTCCTACTTAATACCATGTAAACTTTCTGGCAGGTGTCTGCAATCATTTATTTAGAATCTTTGCCACATTAGTGCAGCATATGAATCCATACTTACTGACTGAATGTATGTCAGCACATGTGTTTATTTTCTCTGTCCTTCCTTCCTTTTTGTTTTCAGTCTGAAGTCTTTTATATACCTGGTATGGGCTGAAACTATTTGGGGTTTTTAGGAAATTATAAAACCATCATTTCTTCACTCTCCTCCTAATCCTTTGCCTGAACAATCACAATTGGATTGCCCTGAACTCAACACATCTCTTCAGGAAAACATTCCCTTTGATGGATGACATTTGGGTTCTGAATATTATTCTCATCACCATTACATTTTAAGTGTAAACCTTTCTCCAAGGCGAAGACCACCCACCTGATGCCTTGTGAGGCACTGTTCCCAGCAGAGGGACATTAACAGTCGGATCTGCCATGATGCCTTTATCCAGGGAACGCAAAGAGAGGAATTCATAGAAGTATTCTGCCTACAACAAAAGGTAATGACAGTGAGAACCACGGAGACCACAGAGAGTGAGAAGGCACTTCCAACACATCAGCCATTTGATGGAAGAGTGATAATATTCCCCAGGGAGCTATGGAGCCCCCGACATTTAAGATGCTATACAGGTATATCTCACCCTCTGTGTTTTGTAGGTACAGAATTAGACCCTCTGTTTGGAAAGAAATGATTTTTTAAAACATTGAGAACATTTATCTAAAACATCCATAAAAGATGGTCTTTTCACAGTATTATTTTGTTGCTGTCTATTGAAAGAATTGAGGGAAAAATGCTTTTAAGGAAAGAAGTGGTGTCAAAACAATTATTGATTCACCCTTAAAAAATCCATCTCAACTTTTGGGGTCAGTTTTTAATTCTTTTCAAATCTGAAATGCGTCTTTTGATCAGAATCTGTAGGGCTATAATATGGGGCTAAGGAAAACAGCAACCTATTGGCAAAAGAAGACATTAAGGGCCAAAATTAATGATCTTGCTGTTAACATTTATTTTCTTCTCTCATTCCCTTAAGAAGCTTATATTTAAGGTCTTAGTTTAATTATGGAGAGAAAAGCCTAAAAATGCCCAAAACAACAATACAATATGACAAGCCATAAAACTTTACTATGTAAACATTTTCATTTTCCCATTAAGTCACTAGTTGAGACTCACAAGGCCATGAATGCTGAAGGTAGTGACACATAATCTCACTACAGAGCTTTGATGCTTAACTGAGTCTCAATTCTTTTATTAAAAGAGTTTGTACTGGAGACAACATGTTCTTGCTTAGGGACAAGAGAACAATCAATCAAGAAAACAAATGCCAACACAACAGGCAAGTTGAATGGTTCTTCAGTCATCTGTACAGTTATCCAGAATTTGGATGGGTTAATTAAAGTAATTAATTACGTAAACACAGGCTAAAAGAAGGTTAATAAAGAATAGGATCTTTCCTACATGCAGTATAGAATTTATTTTCCAACATGGAAGATATTAAAAGATGATGAATGGGGGCTGGGATTGTAGCTTAGTGGTAGAGTACTCACCTAGCATGTGTGAGGCACTGGGTTCGATGCTCAGCACCACATAAAAATAAATAAATAAAATAAAAGGTATTGTGTCCATCTACAACTAAATAAAGAAGAATTTATTTTAAAAAAAGATGCATGGTGGACATCCAAATGACTTTCTGCTTTAAATCATGGTATGAGGGCTGGGGATGTGGCTCAAGCGGTAGCGCGCTCGCCTGGCATGCGTGCGGCCCGGGTTCTATCCTCAGCACCACATACCAACAAAGATGTTGTGTCCGCCGAGAACTAAAAAATAAATATTAAAAATTTAAAAAAAAAATAAATAAATCATGGTATGAAAAGCATTAGGCATTAAGGACTTCATAGGAAGCTAATAATGCAAAGGGGAAATCACAGTTGTTATGGGGATATTGTCTACAACCCCAGTGAGATGAAACTACTTCCTGTTTCAGTGAGCCAAAAGGAACAACTTCATTGACCAAATCTTCACTATCTCCCTTCTTTGAATTGTGGCAAAGGTTCCAGAACACCACAGTGAACTATTCCCTAGGTAGTAACAGTTTCATGAATTAATTTATTAGTTCATCCATTAGGAGGAACCTGAGGATCAAGGGCCATAAGACAGATGATTCCTATTTTATCTAAGGAAAGGCAGAGATCCAAAATAAGTTTGATGAAAGGAATGTTGTCAGGAAAGGTAATTCAATTTGGAATACAATCCTTTGAAAAAGAGAATGAATAGTATTTCTGTCCCTGCAGGAAAACTAATGGTTATATTAAAAGTGAACTCATTTTCATGAATCCATGTGTTTTAAAGACTTTTATCAGCTGTTATGTCCCTCTATGCCAAAAAATACTTTGCTCTAAAACATATTTTAGTTGCCACAATGAGAGGACTTAATGCTGGATGCTGTTATAATTAATTACATTTGCATTTATTTATATTGCCTAGTACAGTAATAATAATAATAATAACAACAACAACAACAAGCAACAATAACATAACAAAGGTGTAATAAACACTAAGTGCCCAAACTTCTTCTGAACATTTTATTAATGATACACATAATGATTGTGAAAAACTGAGTGGGTAGAACACAGAAACTCTGAAACAAAAACTTCAAATACCATATAACAAGTCATCATTTGCTACCTCATAATCATATCTTTGAGCTTTATCTCATTATAAATTAAATCTACTTTCTATGAATGATACTTTTAAATTGCATTTGTAAAACTTAAGATAATTTCAATAAGAAATCTGATTTTAGTTTAAAATATTTATTAATAAGGAAAAGGATGAAACACCAAAATTAGAACAATTACATAGAATTAAGGGTAATTGGGTTTTATTCTTTCTCTCCTTTTCAAAGTTTCTGTACATGGTTCTATTTATGGTGAAATTAATGCATTTATTTTTTTAAAAAAGCATTAATTATGTCTCCTGCTGTTAAGTGTGTGGCTGATGATAATCATTGACTCCGAAATTCTCACCCCTTCTATTTAGGGTAGTTATGCTCATGCAACAATTTTATTAAATCTTTTTGAAAGCATGCTTCAAGACAAAGTAGCTTCCAAATGTTTCTTTCAAAAGTTTCATATATATATATATATATATATATATATATATATATATGCACAAGACATTAATTAAAAACAAAAGTAAATGGCAGAAAGATCAGTACAGTTGGGGAAGGAAATAGGAAATAGGGGGAGGGAGGAGAGGAGAAAAAGGAGAAGTACTGAGGACTGAATTAGAACAAATTCTATTCTAAGCTTTTATAACTTTGTTAAAATGAATCCTAATGTAATGCTAACTAAAAAGAATAAAATAAAAAAAGTTTTGGTGTTCAAAGTATTTAGAACTAACTGAAAGAATTTCACTCAAAGTCCAGAAAGGAAAGCTCAGGTCTCCATATGGTCACATAAAGTAGGCTAGGAAGCACTGAATCCATCATAGTGAGGTCTGAAAGTTTATCATTAGCAGTGACATGACACTAAACATTATGCAGCTAAGTTTAATGGATTTTTCTGGAAGGCCAATACTCTGATCTTATCAATAACAAGTTTCACAGGTTTTAGTATGTCTCTTTGGTTTCTTTGAGAATCAGTGCACAGCATGATTTTTCTGCTACAATTCTAAGACTACCAAAGACTGTTGTAGGCAAAAACTGCTCAGTTTCTTCTGTAGATCATTTTTTGTTGCAGGAAAGATGGACATTTGTTAGCTGAATTTCAGTTAGCAATAACAAAATGATAGTTCAAAAACTGAAAACCCCTGAACCTTTGCATTTTCAGAGGACAGAGTTAAGAACTGAGGGTATCAGGACAATGATGACTTTGCTCATTTAATGGGTATTCTTTCTTGGATCTTATCAGCAAAAAGCAGTTGCTGGAATAAACCTTTTTAAGTTATTTATCCTTCTTTTAAAAAATATTTTTGAGTGAATTCATTAATTTATTAAAAGATAAGGTCACTGGGCCATCAATTAAATGTAAATAGTAGTTGTTATACACACAATTTTTTTCAGTCCTTTCCACAGCTTTTATTGGTGCATTATAGTTGTACATAATGATGGAATTTGTTGTTACATATTCATAAATGCACACAATAATACAATATAATTTGGCCAATATCACTCCCTAACACTCCCGGCTTCCTTCTTCCTGCCCCCTGGTCCCTTTCCTTCACTGATCCCCCTTTGGTTTTCATGAGGTCCCCACCCCCACCCTTATTTTCCTTTTTCCTCTCTAGCTTCTACATGTGAGAGAAAATATACAAGCCTTGACCTTCTGAGTGTGGCTTATTTCACTTAACATAATGGTTTCAAGTTCCATCCACTTTCCTGAAAATGACATAATTCCATTTTTATTTTTGGCTGACTAAAACTTCATTGTATATGTATATTACATTTTATTATCCATTCATCCATTGATGGACACCTAGGCCGGTTCCATAGTTTGGCTATTGTGAGCTGTGCTACTGTAAACATGGGTGTGCATGTATCGCTATAATATACTGACTTAATTCTTTAGGATAAATACAGGAGTGGTATAGTTGGGTCATATGGCAGTTCCATGCCTAATCTTTTGAGGATCCTCCATACTGATTTCAATAGTGGTTGTACTAATTTACAATCCCACCAAAAGTGTAAAAGTGTTCCTTTTTGCCCTGTTTAATTCATTTTAATTAATTCATTTATTAATTGGGTTATTTGCTTTTTTTGGTGTTTTTTTTTAGTTTCTTTATATATTCTAAATATTAATCTTCTGTCAAAAGAGTACTAGCGGTATTTATCCTTCTTATTAAAGACAGTAATGGGACTTGAATCTCTGAAATTTGTAATCTTCTTTATACTTGGTATATTTTTTCACAAAGTTTTGTCCACATGCTGTTTTTACTGCTTCTTAAAAATTCTAACTTGAAAGGCAAGGTGCAGTGGCACATGCCTGTAATCCCAGGGGTTCTTGAGGATAAGGCAGGAAGATCACAAGTTCAAAGCCAGTCTCAGCAAAGCAAGATGCTAAGCAATTCAGTGAGACCCTGTCTCTAAACAAAATAGGACTGGGGATGTGGCTCAGTGGTCAAGGACCCCTGAGTTCAATACCCAGAAACACCACCCCCCATCAAATAAATAAATAAAGATTTAGACTGGGGATATAGCTCAGTTGGTAGAGTAGCACAAGGCCTTGGGTTCAATCCAAGCACCACCAGAAAAACAAAAAACAAAAAAACATCTAACTTGAAAGCCACTTAGAAACTGAACAACCTTTTGCCTTTGGTGTTCTCTTTTTTTTTCTCCTTTTTTTTTTATTGGTTGTTCAAAACATTACAAAGCTCTTGACATAATTCATACATTAGATTCAAGTGGGTTATGAACTCCCATTTTTACCCCAAATACAGATTGCAGAATCACATCGTTACACATCCACATTTTTACATAATGCCCTATT